AATGCATGATTGTGTTCCCCCCGTGTCGTGCGTGTGTGTAGTATACATGCATGCAGAATGTGTCTGTGCATATATTAGATGTGCATGTATAATGTGTTCACATATGTTATATGTGCATGTACAGTGTGTGTGTGTGCATGCTTCGTGGTTGTGTGTACATGCATGATTGTGTGTATGTTTCATGTGTGTGTATATATTATATGTGCATGTATAATGTGTGTGCATATGTTATATGTGCATGCACAGTGTGTGTGTGTATATATACAGTACATACGTCCTGTATGTGTGCATGTACGATATGTCTCACGTACAAAAGTGTGTGCGCGTGTATCACGTGCATCTGCTTGTGTTTCATGTGCGTGTACAATGTGTGTGCGTGTATAACGTACAGTATGTGTGCTTGTGTGTACTTCATTTCAGTATGTGTACATGATTGTGTACATGATTGTGTCTCCTGTGGGTACAGGTGTACGTATAACGGGTGTCTCGATGTTTTGTACGTGCATGTCAATGCGTGTGTGTGTGCATGTACGATATGTGTACGTATGCGTGTATTATTTGCGTGTTTGTACGTGGGTTGGTGTGTGTGTGTATGTGTGTGCATCGTGTGTGTGTGTATATCCTTTGTGTGCAGTGGATGTGTACATGCACGAACGCTTCTCTGAAAATGTATGCGTGCATGTAGTTTGCATTTGTGTGTGTGTATACACGGGACAGTAGTGTGTGTGTATACACGGTACAATAGTGTGTGTGTGTATATACACGGTACAGTAGTGTGTGTGTACACGGGACAGTAGTGTGTGTGTACACGGGACAGTAGTGTGTGTGTACACGGTACAGTAGTGAGTGTGTGTGTGTACACGGGAGAGTAGCGTGTGTGTGTATACACGGTACAGTAGTGTGTGTGTGTGTACACGGTACAGTAGTTTGTGTGTATACACTCTACAGTAGTGTGTGTGTATACACGGTACAGTAGTGTGTGTGTGTGTACACGGTAGAGTAGTGTGTGTGTGTACACACTCTACAGTAGTGTGTGTGTATACACGGTACAGTAGTGTGTGTGTACACGGTAGAGTAGTGTGTGTGTGTACACGGGACAATAGTGTGTGTGTATACACGGTACAATAGTGTGTGTGTGTACACGGGACAGTAGTGTGTGTGTATACACGGGAGAGTAGTGTGTGTGTATACACGGGAGAGTAGTGTGTGTGTATACACGGTACAATAGTGTGTGTATATACACGGTACAGTAGTGTGTGTGTACACGGTACAGTAGTGTGTGTGTGTATACACGGTACAGTAGTGTGTGTGTGTGTGTACACGGTACAGTAGTGTGTGTGTGTGTGTACACGGTACAGTAGTGTGTGTGTGTAAACGGTAGAGTAGTGTGTGTGTGTGTACACGGTACAGTAGTTTGTGTGTGTGTACACGGTACAGTAGTTTGTGTGTGTGTGTACACGGTAGAGTAGTGTGTGTGTGTACACGGTAGAGTAGTGTGTGTGTGTACACGGGAGAGTAGTGTGTGTGTGTACACGGTACAGTAGTGTGTGTGTACACGGTAGAGTAGTGTGTGTGTGTACACGGTACAGTAGTGAGTGTGTGTATACACGGTACAGTAGTGTGTGTGTACACGGTAGAGTAGTGTGTGTGTATACACGGTACAGTAGTGTGTGTGTACACGGTACAGTAGTGTGTGTGTACACGGTACAGTAGTGTGTGTACACGGTAGAGTAGTTTGTGTACACGGTAGAGTAGTTTGTGTACACGGTAGAGTAGTTTGTGTACACGGTAGAGTAGTGTGTGTGTGTACACGGTACAGTAGTGTGTGTGTGTACACGGTACAGTAGTGTGTGTGTGTGTACACGGTAGAGTAGTGTGTATGTACACGGTAGAGTAGTGTGTGTGTACACGGTACAGTAGTGTGTGTGTGTACACGGTACAGTAATGTGTGTGTGTGTACACGGTAGAGTAGTGTATGTGTACACTGTAGAGTAGTGTGTGTGTGTGTATACACGGTAGAGTAGTGTGTGTGTACACGGTAGAGTAGTGTGTGTGTGTGTACACCGTAGAGTAGTGTGTGTGTATACTGTAGAGTAGTGTGTGTGTACACGGTAGAGTAGTGTGTGTGTGTGTGTATACACGGGACAGTAGTGTGTGTGTACACGGTACAGTAGTGTGTGTGTACACGGTACAGTAGTGTGTGTACACTGTAGAGTAGTGTGTGTGTGTACACGGTACAGTAGTGTGTGTGTGTACACGGTAGAGTAGTGTGTGTGTGTACACGGTAGAGTAGTGTGTGAGTGTGTGTACACGGTACAGTAGTGTGTGTGTGTACACGGTAGAGTAGTGTGTGTGTACATAGGCACTGTGTGAGGAGCGGTGGCGTAGCGGTTAGCACGCTGCGCCACGAACCCGGCCATCCGAGTTCGATTCCCGCTCAAGGCCACCAGCACCAGCGACAGATTATTATAAACCGGTCCTGGGCCTCCCCTAGGTCGACTCGGCCTCAAATGAGCACCTGGTGGCGATGTGTACACATCGTCACAGGGGAGACAAAGGCGGGCCATTCACCCACTCTGTGTGACGTGCCGGCCTTCATAGATGCTCACTTTGCTTTGACAATCATTTGTAGTGACATGTTTGTACTTGATGTATGTATTCCACCATCTTACATTAGTAACTATTGTACACGTGTGTGTATCTTTGCACGGTGGGGACACACGTGGTTCATCTGCCTGTGACCTCACTCTATGATCCCATAACACCTGGGTGGGTGTCTGCTCTTTTGACCTGATAGCAACATCACGCGGCCTCAAAAGTGCACCTAGCCTGGCGCAATCAGTCGCGACTTCACCGTCACTTCGCGTGCTGTATGTTGGCCTTACACGTGTTGACTGTCTGTTGAACTTCTTCGGCACCCTGCGTAGCCGATCGCGCTAACCGGAGGTGCGGGGACGGACAACACACCCAAGCACAAAAGGCAGTTCTGAAGAAACGAGTTTTCAACCTAGGCTTAAATGTGCATTGCTATTGTGGACAAGGTGGAGAAGTTGCGGATAAGAGGGCGAAAGTGGGGTTGAGGGCAAAATTGCGGAAAAGAGGGTGAAATTGGAGATAAGAGTGTGAGACTGTAAAAAGGCGAAATTTGAGATAAGAGTGTGAGACTGTGTAAGAAGAGGGTGAAATTTGAGATAAGAGTGTGAGACTGTGTAAGAAGAGGGCGAAATTGGAGATAAGAGTGTGAGACTGTGTAAAAAGAGGGTGAAATTTGAGATAAGAGTGTGAGACTGTGTTAAAAGAAGGCGAAATTGCGGATAATCAGAACACTTATGTATCCTGGAGAAATCCCATGAGTTCGAAGGCTCGTTTTCACATGTCCATTCGGTAAGGGGTCAGAAAGTTACTATTAGAGGGTGGAATTGCAGATAACAGGGTGGCATTGGGGACAAGAGGGGTGTGCTCGCGAGCAGCCTGGTGAAGGCTACAATTGAGGGATTCTTTGTGTTGTATTTAATGCCGGTTGTAATTACTGTCGAAACGTCGTGCTCAGATTGTAAATGTTATGGCTTGGTGTGCTGTTCTAGTAACGAATTGGCACGTTCTGTTTACGTGACAAACCTTACTAATTGGCTGTGTCGGGTGGTCGCGGGCTTAACGACATTTAGATTTACGCGATCCCACCCAAACAAAAAAACCTGCGGAATGGATGATATTGGTCGCGAAAGACTACGCGCTAAAACGGTGTGCATTCTGTGTGTGTGTGACATGTTTATTGTGTGTGTGTGTGTGTGACTCCACAGGGGAAGGCCGAGTACCTGGTCAAATGGAAGGGCTGGTCCTCCAAGTGAGTATTCTACTCATGACTCAATTTTGAGGCCAGGGATATTATTTGCTGTCGGAACGGCGGGGACCCGTATCTTCAAGGGAGGTCTCTTGCCCAATGAACGTCCGGCAAGTTCACCTGCGCGCCCGAATCTGCCGATGGGACGCTCTTCAAACCGGTCCGGAGATTTTGCTTGTGTTGAATGAACGCCGCTGATGTTATTCGCTCGCAGGGGGACAATTGTGGGTCGATGAATCGTGTAAAACATTTTTGTTTTTAATACAAGGAGACAGATATGTGAAGGAGATGTGTAGTCTGCTTATTTTATTTCTATAGCCTACAAAGGCTTTGGGGAAGTGCTGTTAGCGAGCACTGATGAAGGCCTGCTTGGCACAATGACGGGGGGTGGTGTGGCCAAACACGACGCGTGGCGCCGATGTTTACGCACCACAGCGGGGTACTCATTTAAGGCTGAGTTGACGTAGGGGAGGCCCAGGACTGGTTTAAATGTTTGTCACCGATGCTGTGCGTGAGCGGGAATGGAACTCGGGTCGCCGGTTTCGTAACAGAGGGCGCAGACGACTACACTACTGCTCCTCAACTGCACAAAACCACACTGCCATGCGCACACACGTGCATGCATAAACACACGTTGGTTTTAATTTCCACACCACAGGCACAACAGCTGGGAGCCCGAGGAGAATCTGTTGGACCCACGACTTCTCCTGGCATTCGAGAGGATGTGAGTAGATCCTATACATAAACAACAGCCGTCATTTGCCACGAACTGGCGGTGACGTCACCACTGCCCTTGTGCCAGGCTAGGTACACTCTGAGGCCACGTGAAATGTCGAACGCTCGCTAACAGGAGGTCACGGGACATACCTAGGTGCCATGGGTTGACTGAAAGTAGGATGGCACCACCTCTGCCCCCTACTGTGCCAACATGCTGTGTTTTAGCCGCCCGGCGCTCCGCTCGTTGTTGTGAGCGTCACTCCTCTGCCCTCCGCTTTTGTGGGAGGGCGACTGCCTCCAACTGCCAAGTAGCAGCGTCCTTCATACAAACAGGCAAACAATGACCCCGTCCCTGTATAGACGACATGGGCTGTGGAGGCAGGTACTGTTCAGAAGTCAAGAAATGGTTTGCTCAAATGACCTGCCACATGGAGGAGAGTGCTCAGCTCCTGTTTCCGGCCCTGAGCACAGTGGTGGAAATTCCACCTTCCTTTGACGTGGCTTTAGTATATCCATAGGACAACCACAGTTGCGTTCCCCCACAAAGTTGGTACTCGTTTTTATCAACCCTTGTCCCCAACCAGAATTTGAACTCGCAACCCTCCAATTGCAAGCCACCCACCCTAGCGACCAAGCCACCTTGGGCTGTGTGCAGTGTGCACAGTATGCCGTGTGCAGTATGTACGGTGGGCTGTGTGTAGTGCAGCGTGTACAGTGCACGTGTGCGGTAGACTACAGTGAGCTGTGTGCAGTGTGCATGTGTGGTGGGCCGTGTGTACAGTGCTCGGCTGCAGGCTGCAGCGGTCTGTGTACAGTGGACACAGTGCGCGTGTTCGGTAGACTGCGGTGGGCCATGTACACTGTGTACAATGCACGTGTTTGTGTGTGTATGCACCACAGTCAGCAGGAGAAGTCTGCCATGGGGAGACGTGGAAGGCGACGCGGACGCCCGCGCAAGGACCCGGTAAACGCGGGGACACGGAGTATACACGCGCACACGCACACACACACACACACGTGTGTGCGTGTGTGCACTGGGACATGGTGCACACACATGCAGAAACGTACAACTGTGTCCATAGGGACATGGTGTGTACACACAAACGTCCACGTGGAAGTATATGCACGCGTGTGTGAGCGGTAGTGTCGCGCGTTGCGCGACGAACCCAGTGACCCGAGTTCAATTCCGGCTCACGGCCAATACCAGTGAAGATGATCTGAACCGGTCCTGGGACTCTCCCCTAGGTAGACTTGGCCTCGAATGAGTACCTGGTGTGATGTGTAAACATTACCACTGGGGAAACAAAGGTTGCTGGGAGTGGTGGTGGTTGCCACTCGCCCCCTAGTGTGTTATGCCGGCCTTCATAGGTGCTACTCGCTAACAGCACTTGCCCCAACATATCTGTTAAAGGCTACGTGGGGGATCTTTGTCTTTGTGTGTGCGCACAGGAGGGGTTCCCCGCGGGTCTCTCCGGGCGCCTGCGAGCCGCTCACTCTGCCGCCCTTCCCACGGCGTCGCCGGCCCCCCCTCCACCCCACGGCCCGGGTGGGGGGGCTGGGCCTCCCCACCACCCTGATGCCTTCAGACACAAGGCAGTGTACAAGGTGCGTACCCCCCTCACCCCTGACTCCACCCGACTAACACGCCCCACCCGCCCCCAACACTCTACTAACACGCCCCCACTCTACCACTTGCCGCTGGCAGCGAGTGAGGGGTCCCTTTAACACCGTACGCCAGTATGAGTGTGGATTGGGGTCCCTTGAATTCAATGTAACCGAGTAAAGTGGGGACCCCTTTTTATCATCTAACATTGAGTGGGGCCCCCTTCAATTGATCTCTCGTCGAGTGAATGGGAGGCCCTCTCTCATACTCGCCAGAGTAAGAGAGTATGAGGACAGAGGGCCTCTGTGCACTTTTAAATCTGGCAGGTTTAACCAAAACCGAATTGGTTTCAGGCGAGAGGCCAGACGAAAGCCAGCGCGCACTGGCCCTCCAGGTTGGGGGTTGGGCGTGGCGCGAACAATGCCACCCCGTAAAGAAACTGAAAGTTAAAAAACAATACAATGAACGAAAAAAAACCGACCTCTTCCGTAACGTCTGGGCCACAGACAACATCCCTGGTGATTGGACTAAAGGTCTCACCGTTAAAAATATCAAAGAAAGGCAACCTAAAGAACTGCAATAACTGGCAAGGAACCGCCTTACTGTCCATTGCCAGCAAAGGTCTCCTGCAGAGTTCTCCTCGACAGAATGGAGACAGCCATTGACACCAGGCTTGAGCAGGAGCAAGCGGGATTTGTAAGAGGAAGGGGATGGATAAACCAGATGTTTGCACTGCGAAACATCATTGAGCAGTGCTGAGAATGAAATGCACTTTGTTAATTAACTTTGGATTTCAAGAAAGCCTTTGACAATGTACATGGGGGGATATCCCTTGGAAGATAATGAGCTCCTATGTAATTCCATCATAGGAAAGTTGTATGAACACTTTGAATGCAGTGTAATCGTGGGCAACACTCTCTCCCAAGTGGGAAAAGCTAGGTGGCCACATCTGTCAACTGCGAACCATTTGGAAGTCCAAACAGTACAATCTGAAAACCAAAGTCCAAAAACAGTAAAATCTTGGATTGCGAGTAACTTGGTCTGCGAGTGTTTTGCAAGACGAGCAAAAATTTAAAATAAATATTAATTTGATAAACGAGCGAGGTCTTGCAATACGAGTAGCATGTATACGCTTTGTCTGCCGAGCGTCACGTGATCACAACCGATATACGGGTGCTTTGATATACGAGTGCTTTGGATTACAAACATCTGTTTCCGGAACGAATTATGCTCGCAATCCAAGGTTTTACTGTAAATACAACAGCAACGTCAAGTCCATCCTGCTATATGGCTCTGAATGCTGGAGGGTCGTGAAAGCAGACGTGAAAAAGGTTGAGGCCTTCCACAAATATACAGTCATGAATTGTACTTGAGGACACGAAGCCGGAACATCGCAGCGGAGATAAAACAATGAAGACTGGAATAGAACCGCATCCCTAAAATTGCCCCGAGATGGACGCCTCCGGGCGAAAGAAAACCGGGGAGGCCAGAAACCACGTAGCGAAGAACCTCTCATGGGGAGAGAGGCACAGCATGCAGCCAGAGACAGGAAAATATAGAAAGAGCTCGTTGTAGCCGTATGTCCCATAGGTGATGAAGAGAAGTACGTAATTTAATTACTAGACCTGTGTTGAAGTAATTGGTGGTTTCGCTAACAGACCTTTGAGAGGGTGAATAGTTGTCGCGCCCATGAATAGATGGTGGACGGTGGCGAATGAAAGTGACAAACGGAGCTGGTCTCTACGGGGAGTGAATGAGCGTGTATTTAACGCCGTGCAGGCCCGTGTGGGAGTTAATTTAATTTCTCATTTAGAGAATTGCATGAACGGTGAACGGAGGTAAATTTTTCACGAACCGATTTCGAGAGTATTGCCTGCAGGTCCCATTGAGTTCTAGATCTGTGCGAAAGTAAATGTAGGGGAATTTCATCGATAGACCTCTGTTAGAGTGAATGAGGTTATGCTAAATACAGGCGGTCCCTGCTTTTACAGCAACACAATGCCTTCCTAGGAATTCCATCATTGTCGTAGAAACGGTAGAAACATCACTTCCCGATGTGTTTTTCCTTTCATCGGTCGTATTTAACAAGGATTAAGAGGTTAAATATCCACTAAGGACTCGAATAACAAAAGCTGCACGCCAAATCACATCAGAGACCAGACCGACTCTGCTCAAATGCGTTCGGAGGCGTGTCGGAAGACACGTCGCTAAATCAAGTTTCTGCGTCGTAAAATCGCTCCATGGTGGCATTGCATAAACCTCGCGAATGTGGATCGTTTGTAAATTGGTCCGTCGTAAACCGGAGACCACCTGTACCGCAGGTCTCGTGGAAGAGAATTTGTGGAATGTAATTAATAGATCGCTATGCGAGTGAACGAGGGTGCCCGCAATTTGATTTGCACAAAACCTAATTTTTCCGCAAGAGCGAACGGGTTTGCGGGCACTGACAATGAATGTCTCGAAAGGAGCGAACGGCCGGCCTTGGCGCCGTGTGATAGTTTTCACGCGCTTGGCAATCGCGACGTGCAAGGCTACCGCGGAGGGAGCCAGTGCGCTGTTCCGCAGATGCGGGCTGCGATAGTTTGACAGCGGGGGGGGGGGGGTGGAGCAGCAGGGTTGGCTCTGTGCAATCCCATTTGAGCAAATTGCAGTGTCATTTTTCGTATTTGAGCACATTGGCGGTACACCGGTGCGCGGTATGCTATTTATTTTCCCCGCGATTGGCAACCGCGGTCAGAACATCTTGCGGGGGGTGCGTGTCAAAAAGATGTCGAAGCGGTAGGAAGTCGAACGTTTAGAGCGGCTGAACACAAAGCTTCGGAGCCTGTTGTCGAAAAGCAGGACCCAGCCACGATGACGATTGGCTGGCTCCATGTTCCAGACGCCGATTTGACTCGTGCCCGACCGAGACTTGGTTGGACGGTTCCTAGATTAGACAGACCCAAATCAACGGTCAATATTGACCTTCTCTGGCAGTCTCGGTAGACTGAATAAACCTTCAAATCGCATCAGACTTGGCGAGAGAGTCAATGAAAGACCGATAAACAGATTTGCTGATTCAGACCGTTTTATGAGGACCGGTGTTTTTATGCCGTACCAGTGTGTTGCCGATACGTCCATTTGGTAAAATCTGGACCGTGAAGCCGACGCACACTGGCCTAGTTACTTTATGAATGACCCTCGTCGGATTTATTTTGCGTTCACCGCGAAGCGAGCAGCGCGCGGAAATGATGGTTAACTTCTGATACCGTTCTAATGACGTGTACGCGTACATACACCGGAACAGAATCGGGAGTAAAAGGCCAATATGGGAGGGCGTTTGGCACAGTTTGGTGGCAGCTACCGTAGAGTGCGGCGGTCGTGTTGCTATGGTTCTCTGAATAGTTCCAAAAACAACAGTGCTACTATGGCCCCTGTAAATAAATGTAAACGCTGAACCGCTCGCGCTTTGCGAGGTTCAGCAGTGAACGAGACATCTCGGAGCGGGAAAGGGTTAATGGGCCCCCGCGGTACAATCGCCAGGGCGGCCTGCTGGATTTGAATCGCGGAATCTCCTCGACTAGCGACGCCCACCGCACACACGTGCTCGCGCCCATTCATCCCTGCTGCTGCTTCCCCGCTTGCCCTTCATCGCCACTGCCGCCCCCCCCCAACCCCCCCGCAAAGGTTCGCCGTCTGGTCCCGCCGCGCGGCGGCGGCGGCAGCGCCGCGTCGCGCTCGCACCTCGAGCTGCAGCTGCAGCGGCAGCATCAGCGCAACGAGGTGCGCGCCCTGCAGCTGTTCTCCATCGCCAACGGCGCCACGCGCAAGATGGGGCGCAAGCTCAAGCGCCTGCAGCAGCAGCATCAGCACAGGCAGCAGCAGCAGCAACAGAGGCACCAGCCGCACTGTCTGCAGCAGCAGCTCCACCACCGCTCTCCGGCGCTGCGGCCGCTGGGCGGAGTCGCCGTCACGGCGAGCTCGGTGGAGCCGGACCCACGGCCGGTGCCGGCGGTGGCGGCGGCGCGGTCGTCGCCGCCGGCCATGGGGTCGGGCGGTCGGGGCGACGCCGGTCCCAGGATGCACGGCGGCCGGACTACGGCGGTGCCGCCCGTTGGAGTCGGCGCCGCCGCCACTGCCGCTGCCGGCGGCGGCGGCGGCGGCGGCGGAGTCGGCGGCGGGGCTGGCGCCGGGTACTTTGCGCGGCGCGAGCGCCCCCGGGCTCGGCCCGGCCGGCAACCGCTGGCGCCGGCGCCGGTGCCCGGCGTGCGGAGCAGGAGGCGCCGGCGAGTCGGCGACGACGTGGGAATGGTCCTGCGCCGCGGGGAGGACGATGACTGACGAGGAGGACCTCTACAGCCCGGCCTCGCAGCGGCGCTCCCCTCGTCTCGAGGAGGTGAAGGCTCCGGCCCGCGCGGCGGTCGCGGCGGCCGCGCCGGCGCCGGCGACGGCGCCGGCTGCGGCGGCTGCGGCGGCGGCGGCGGCGCCGACGGCGCCGTCTCCCCCGACCTCGTCGTCGTCGTCCACCTCGTCGTCTTCGTCTAGCTCGACCTCGTCGTCCTCGTCGTCGTCGTCGTCCTCGTCGTCCTCGTCGTCGTCCTCGCAATCGTCGTCGTCCTCTTCGTCTGAGGAGGAGGAGGACGACGACGACGACGACGACCGCGAGGACGACGACGAGGACTGCGAGGACGACGACGACGACGACGAGGCGGACAGCAGCTGCGCCGACGGGAGGGAGGCGGGCGAGGTGGATGAGGCGGGGCCCCGGCCGGGGGGCGCCATGACGCAGCCGCTGGCAGCGGGGGCAGGGGGTGGCGGAGCGCTGTGCGGCCGCGTGGGCCCCCCGCTGCGGCTGGGGAGTGCCGCAGCGCTGGCGCCCGAGTGGAAGCCCAAGGCCTTCCTGGCGCAGCACGTCATGGTGACGGACGTGACGGCGAACCTGCTCACGGTCACCGTCAAGGAGAGCAGCTCCAGCGTCGGCTTCTTCGCCGGCCCACGGGGGGCAGCGCTGTGACTGAACGTTCGGTTTTTTTTGGGGGGGGGGTGGGAGGGAGGAGCGGGGGGGGGGGGGGCGGAGGCCTGACCGATATGCGTGAGGAGGAGTTACGTTGGCCACACCGCAAGGGGGTGCGGTGTTGGGGGGCGCGGTGCTATGACTGAACCGTACAGCGGGGGGGAGGTGGGGGTCACGCTGAGGGTCACGCCGAGGTCACGCCGAGGAGGTCACGCCGAGATCACGCTGGGGGCCGAGCCGTGGTCGGTTGTGTCAAAACAATCGGGGACCGAACTCGTTCGCCGCCGGGCGGCGTCATGGGGTTTCGTCGCGAAAGGACCGGCGCCTTGAACAACAGCGCCGCAGCCAATCGGCAACCTCCCACCCCCCCCATTCGTCTCCCCCCCCCCCCCCCCCCCACCATGGCAGTGCACTACGATGGATCATCGCGATTCCGCATCGCCATCCGATTCGACAGTCATTCCTGTATCTACGCCGTGCCGAACGTATAGTATCGCCACTGGCGGCTGCACGAATCGACTGCGTACGATACGGCACGATATTGGGAGGGAGAGTCCATGGTTGCGCGCACGATTTAATCCGTGTGGAGTGTGCGTAAGAATAGATGTCAATAAGATAATCGATTTGCAACTGACATTTGGGTTGGGCCAATTATAGATTACGTTTGAGCGCACTCACCGGTAGTTTGAAGATCAGTTTTTCCCGTGACAGAATTTAGCGGTTTCATAAAAACGACGTTTCACTTAAATTTGCGTCGAGCATCTCCAGGTGTTTCGGAACCGGCCAAAATCAGAAATGACTTCTGAAGCGAAACATTTGGCCGGATTGCATCATTACACGTCGCCTAACCCAAAAATTAATAGTGGATCATGGCATCGGTCGCAAAAACCACCTAAGCGTTGGGTTAATCAACGCGTTGTTAAGCGCCTCCGCTTCACATGCCATCTCGCTCCCACCACATATTTGGTTATGCTGTGGTCATTAATGTGCCCTTCTCCCACAAGTATAGAATGGGACACCATGCCGGAGCTTCTCAGAACACCAATCGTGCACACCCGAGCACTTTTCATAACGGTTCATATTCCTAGACCACAATGTTATTATTTTTTTTCCCCCGAAGAGGGAAAATAGCAGTAGTTCATCGTGGGCTACTTACTGCAGGACGAACGGCACGGGTTTCTTACCGACGCTTACCCATTCACTCTTCCATCAATGCTCACGCCTACCCCCCCACCCCCCTCACCATGAACCTCAAAAAACATTTCTGATTGGCAGCAGCGGTGTTTTTAAGAGCGGCGGGAATAGTTTGCGGCGTCGCACGCGCCCGAGCGAGGTCCGGTACTCTGGAGGCCGAGGTGTTGGTGCATCGCTAAATTTGTGAAACTCTCAAAACCCACTGGAGCGCGATGGACCGCCAGTAGCACGCGTTGAGCGAGTTCGTGAAACCTGTCTGTGCGGACTTTTGAACGGTATCCCCTGCTACGCGTGGCACGGGGGGGGGGGGGGGGGGGGGGGGTTGTCTGAGAATATCGGTTTCCTGAACGCGCGCACACGCGCATGCGCGCGCATAACAAGACACCCCTTAAGGTATTGGCCAGGCATTGGAATGTAGGACCCTCCAGGAAAATGATCTTGAGACTCATTCAGACTTTGTCGGGAAAATTAGCATTGTGATTAATTTACCCATGTCTTTATTTCTGGGTGTAAAACAACTGAACACTTATCGTATTTTGCGCAACCAGCCAATGGCAGAGGTCAGACTGTACTTGGGTTTGGGAGAGCGGTCGGTCAGATTATGCCATGCCATGGGACTCACCCGGAGATTATACTTGGCCTTTTCGTAAGAGACACGGAGGCACTCCCGTAAACCGACCCGGCGGAGAGAGATGCTGATGTGACCTAAAGGGGGGATCTTGGGTGAGGCATACACCAATCCAGGGTATCGCTAATCCTGACTGGGGCAGAGGCATGGAAAAAAGGGCACGGTGACCCAGAGGGTGAGAGTGAAGAGGTGGGGTCGGGTTGTGACAGTCCCCAGATTGGGGTAACGGTGCAGCCACTGATCTCATTGCAGGTGAATCGACGAGGTCACGAGGCCGAAACAACGTTGTGGCTTTTTGCCCTGTTCCAGTTACATTTTTAATCGCTTTATAAGTTCACGAATGCAACCCCCTCTCTCTTCCCCCGATCCTGCCTCGACCCCCCCCACAACGAAGGGGTACGGGGTGACACCCCCTGTGGCCGTTCGTCCTCCGGGACCGTGACCTCGATCCCTCTGACCCTGATCCTGACCCCCCCCCCCCAGCCTCACCGGTTTGGGGGGTCACAACGGCACGCTCGGCAAAGTGGACCCCATTGTAAATATTTTAAATATCGGTGTTGATTTATTGTGCGGGCTAAAGTAATTTCCTATCGCCCAGCAGAATTACCTTACGTATTATTATCATCATCATATTTGTATTGTCACGATGTTTGTATTATTATTGAGCCTCGCGTGTACAGCATCATTGTATACGGTAGGCGCAGTGTTGGCCAAGACAACCTAAGTACAGTATACGTATACTGTTAGCGCGTGTGTGTGCGCGCGCGCGTGTGTGTGTGTGGGGAATCCAGTGCCACAGCGGTTCGCACGCTGCGCTGTGATCCCGGTGGGACCTGGGTTCGACTCCCAGCCATAATGTTGGAACATAGAGCGGCGAGTGGTACCTGAACCAGTCCTGGACCCCCCCCCCCCCCAGGTCGATAAACATCAGCGCTCGGGAGGTATTTCCCGGTCGGAAGTGGTGCTGGCCACACCATCACGTTGTATTTTTGTTCGCCGGCCTTAATAAGTGCTCGCTAACAGCACTTGCCCTTGTGGTCTATGAGACTAAATGGGGGGTTGTTTTGTCCTTGTATAGTGTTTCCACATTGCCGTGTGTGCACGCACGACTGTGTACGCTCCTGTACGAACTGCTGCATTGGCATTTGCATGCGGCCCCACATACAGCTGCGTGTACGCGCACAGGGTGAACCGTTGTTACATGCAGCGTCTGCGCCTTGCGCACGTCCGAACAGTAGGCGCGCACACGTGTACACAATTGTGTGTGTGTACACACAGTGTGTGTGTGTGTGTATATATAGTGTACGTATATGCAGTGTATACATGGCGATCCAATTATAGATGCCCCGCCGATTTGTAGTGACCCACTTCTCAACGGCCGATTACATTCGTTGCAGAGGAGGAGGACGTTAAAATATTTAACAAGTACATTGAGGTTGGTGGGAGACGCGTGGAGGCTTTGAATTAAAATGAAACAAATTATTTGGTGCTGCTGCTTCTGCATTGGAAGTGGTGCAGGGAGCACGAAATTAACACGAAAAAAACCACGCAACACGTTCATCGATACCTTTGCCTTAAAAGGAAGAAGTATAGAGTCGGTGACGTTTCGAGCAAATGGGTCCTTCCTCTTAGCACGTCAAAATAATCTAAATGTTTTGCTATAATTTATCTCCCCGTTATTTTAGTGGGGTGTGTATAAATGGATCGCCATATATATAGCACGTTCACGTGTGTGTGCGTGTGTGCGTGCGTGCGCACTGGGCGTGCGTCCCTCTGCTCAAACAAGCAATGGGACGCGGCTCTTTTCTACTCGTGACCCTGAGCCAATGGTGATAACTCCACATTCCTATGGTAGAGGTTGGTTTCTCTACAGTGGATGGCAGCTACTGGAATAACAATCTACACAACAACAGCATTCGCTACTAAGTGGCGGTGAAGTCACCACGGCGCTTGTGCCAGACCAGGTGCAGTCTCAGGCCCCGTGAAGTGTCGAACGCTCACTGCTGGCAAGAGGTCACAGGACAGATCCATGGGCCATGGGTTGACTAACTTGAGATGACTGGCAGACGCATCACCTGTGGGCCCCTACTGTGCCAACAATCTACACAAAGACAAAGGCAATCAACGCACCCGCACGCAGACATGACCACAAACACCAGCACCGCCAACATTGATCTTAAACTTCATCAACATCAATGCAATCATTTACCAGCATTTCCATAGCCTTCACCGCGACCACATGCGTCGTTTCAGCAGGAACAATCCGGAAAGCTGTTCCAGGAATTCACTCTGGCACCCAACTAGGTCCATCTTGCCTTATTTTGTCATCTTTTTTGTGTACAAGGTGTGCCCTGTCCATAATATAGGCATACAGGGTACAATAATATTGGATTTTTATGACTAGGCAGGCGTACCTTGTACTACAATGGTGGCGCAAATCTCCTTTCTCTCGGACATCCCTGCAACTTCTAGATTTGAAGCTTTCGTGACTGCAAGGATTCATACTCTTTGGTTTTTTTCGGTGAAGTCACGTAGGTAAAATAAAATAAATTAAAATAAAATAATTAAATCACGACGTTTCGGAGGCAACACAAGCTTCCGTCTTCAGGTGGAACAGTCACAGCAAGATCGCTGCATCAAGTTGATGCAGCGATCTTGCTGTCGTGATTTAATTTTAATTGTTTTCTTTTAATTTATTTTATTTTACCTACGTGACTTTACTGAAAAAACCAAAGAGTATGAATCCCTGCAGATCTTTAAATCCAGACATGGGACCTTCCTCTTCTCTATGACTGACTGCCTGTCGCTTTCCCCCATAGGCTCAGAGAGACGTCTGTGTCTCTCTCCCATACTCGCATAGAGACGCATAGACTCGCATGGAGACCGACTACTGCTTCCCTTTCTCTCTACAACATAAATATTCACATTGTTTCTGCTACTGGAATAACAATATATCGTAACCTTATCGTGGTGGTGGGGTTTGTGTGTTCCAATAACCCTCCGAGCTATGTCGCCTGGAGTCATGTACCACTGGCAAGGTCTCGCTTGGCGAGCAGGTCTGGGGGGGGGGGGGGAGGTTCCAGACAAATAACGGTCCAAAAAAAGCCCCTCGTGAATGGTTAAAAAAAATACCAAAATCAGAAAATCTTGCCCAGACAAGGAATACTGGGACGCACCCCTGGAGCCAGGCCTGGGGGTGGTGTTCGCCGGCAAGCGCCTGGT